CCCCCCCCCCCAGAGGGGAGGGCCACACCACAGTCCCTTCTCCTCCATTCTCAGGATCTTGGGCATGTATGCACATGCGCCTGGCATGAGTTTAAGCCACCGGATCTGGGATTCAAACCATGGTTGACTACATGGGAGTCCAGCACATAGCCATTATGCCAGCTGTCGGTCCCTAGCTCTTTATAGAGCTAATCAAGCTAAAGTGAGGTCATTAGGGTGGACCCTAACGCAAGAGTGGTGTCCCCACAAAAAGAAAATTTGAAAGCAGGCTCAAGTAGAGAGAGAATATCATGGGGACCTGAAGGTGGCTATCTATACACCAAGGAGAGAGGTTTTTCTCTCATAGCCCTGAGAAGGAACCAACCCTAACAGCACCTTGGTCTTAGACTTCTTTCTTTGTTTTTTAAAATTTGCTGTAGGGCAAGTGCATTCACTAGAGAGAGAGAGGGAAAGTGAGAAAGCACCTGGGTGTGTGTGTCTGTGTGTGGCCACACTGTAATCCATTCTCTCCTTTTGGGATTTTGGGCATGTACACACACACATACACACACACACGCACACTCCCAGTGTTTTTCAAGCCACCAGGTCTGAGGCTCGAATCACAGTTGGCCACATGGGATCCAGCCAGCTTAACCACCATACCACTGGCTGGCCAGGTCGGTCTGGGCCTTCTAACCTCCAGCACTTTGAAACCAGTTTGCAGTCCTTTGTTACACCAGCCCTAGCAAATACCCAACCGATTGTGCGACTCGCCATGGGGTTGCAACCTACAGTGCACAGACCAGAAAGATCTTTTCCCATGGTGCTTTCATACAGCCTCTGCAGACATCCGACGGGCAGGCAGAACCGGGAGGAAGGTGAGGCAAGTGAGGCGCTCATTCTCAGGGTCATGCAAGGGGCGTGACCTTGATGAAGTTCTGGCCGACCCTCCAACAGCATAATCTGGACATGAGTGACCCCTCACACTTTGTGCCCTAGACTCACCCTATCTAGGCCCTGTTGGAGAGGGTATAACTGTTGTTCCTACTGGAGGATTTGACACATGGTCACGAACTCTTATGAGGAGTCAGACCCAAGTCAGATTTGCCTCTACATTGTGGGTTCTTTCTACGACATCACAGTGTCCCTGATGGCACAAGCAGTCAGAAAGGAAGACAATACATACTACTTTCCTTCCGGTACTTGCTCTTGGCACTCCTCGCAGACGGCAAAGCCTGGCTTTAGCTCCTGCCTGCGAGAGGGGGGGGGGGGGGCCGGAGGCGGAGAGGGGGGGGGGGGGCGTCCGTAGGCGGAGAGAGCGAGCGTGTGAAAGCACAGGGCACATCTTGACCCTGGCATTGTTGGGGACCAGCCCACAGGCACATTCCCATTCCCTATCATCTCCACCCCTGCTCGTCCTCCGCAGTTCACTGTCTCGCAGACACAGGAAGCACATCAACACATACACCTCCAAAAGGCTCTATCTTTGTAGCAGTAATAATACCCCCCAATCCGGGGACCTCTGGGCAGGGTGGAGACTTCTGTCTTCCTCACGTCTGGTTTACTCTGGGCTGCAGTCATGCCTGGCATTTACTAAGTGCCAGGCATTGCTCTAAAGCTTCACGTGTTAGCACATTTCATTCTCAAAGCCTCATGGGTTAAGACTCCTACTGCTCCATTTTACTAATGACAAAACTGAATCACAAAAGGTACATTGCCCAGGGTTTTGTGCGTTGGCAGGATCTGACTCGAAGCAGCCACGTCCACGGCCCAGACTCCTAACTGTTGTACTCTGTTTGTTCCTACCCTCGGCTGCCTGGCTGGACCGTCCACGTGCACTCAGGCACAGGCATGCCCGTTGGCGGGGGATGCGAGGGGGTGGAGCTGGGTTCTGGGAATTAGTTCAGGCACCAGGGGGCAGCATAGGCCTAGCTTTAGCCCTTGGGCCCAGCCCTGCTAAGGGAGAGAGGAGGGGAGTTTAAGCGTCTTCGTCTTCCCACTGCCCCCCAGACACCACTGTTTCCACAGAGCAAGGATCTCAGCTGTGGGGATGTAAAGGCCTCTCTGGGTCCCTTGGTCTCCTCCAGCCCCTCCCCCCAGAAACCATTCACTAGTTTTGATGACTAAGAAGCTGAGCAAGCCTGAGTGTATGTGTGTTTGTGTGTGTGTTCGCGCCTGAGTGTATGTGTGTTTGTGTGTGTGTTCGCGTGTGTGTGTGTGTTGGGGGTGTTACGACTGCAAGTGGTTCTGAGTGCTGACATGTGTGTGATCCCGCCCGCACACATGTGTGAATGTGTGTGTGTGTGTAGACTTGTGGCCAGGCAGTCGTACATGTGTTTGCTTCTGGGTGTGTCTGTGTTTACCCCAGGAACAGATAGGAACTTGGCCAAGGCTGCACAAGCAGATTCGTATTCGAACTTGTCCCTCGGGAATCTACAGGCAGCAGCTCCAGTTTGTGCCGGCTCCCACCGGAGGCCTGGGGAGAGGTACCCCATGAGGAGAGCAAAGACAGTTTTCAGTCCCCAGACCTCCTTCTGGAGCCTTCTAGAATTCCGAGTGGAGGTTTCCCTCCCCCACTCTCCCATCAGCGGTCACGCGACCTCTAAGGCGTTCCTGGGGAGAAGGGAGGGGGACCTAGGCGGTTCAGGCAGCCCGAGTTCCCTGCTGCTTTTCAGGGTCCTCCACTGGAGGGAGTGCAGAGCCCAGAGGGATTTGCTTTCCTGGCGCCCCGGGAGCCCAGTCCCTCATGGGCCCAAAGCCTAGCCCTTGTGAAAGTTCAAGCGTGGGGAGACAGGCATTTGGGGCAGCATGTCACTGCTTCACATTAGGTGACCGGCTGGAGAAAAGCTGATCGATTTTGAGGGAGAATAAACGAGCGGGGGTCAGCCTCTTCCCCTCTTGGCTCCAGGGCCCAGAGCTCCAGTCCTGTCCCCTCATGTCCTCCCCCACCCAGCACAGGAGGCACACATGTTCACCCCACTTTCTTCCTCTTCCTCCTCCAGCCCACTTTCTCTTCTCTGTGTCGTCAGAGCTCCAGGGAGGGACCTGGGTAGACGGAGAAGCCGGAAACAGCGGGCTGGGGCAGCCACTGCTTACACTGAAGAGGAAGGAGGAGAGGGTTGTGTGTGTGTGTGTGTGTGTGTGTGTGTGTTATTTTTTTTTGTTTGTCGGTGGTGGTGGTGGTGGTGGAGGTGGGGTCCTAGCAGGGCCAGCCCTGAACTCGCTGGACAGAGCTACAGACCCATGGGGCCTGGCAGTGCCCGCTGAGAGAGGGAGAAGACAGCAGAGGGGTTGCCAAGGTGAGGGGATGTCTTGGGAGGGGGAAGGGGGCTCCTGACTATGAGTGTGTGGGGTGGGCTAGAGGGGAATCTCTCAGGATCCTCCTCAGAGTGGGGTGCATGGTCCTCGAGAAATTGTTTCAGTTAGTACGGGGTTCTGGCAGTTTCCAACTCACAGGGATTGGGGGGTGGCTATGGCCTCCTCACTCCCCTCCCCCACGGGCCACATTTTCCACACCCTCACCGCTGCACCTCCAGAGGCATGGACGGAGGGGCACAGGAGGTGAAGGGGTCCTCTCTCTGTCTGGGTGGGGGGTAGTGCCTACCCCTCCTTAGAAAGTTGATGCCCGAGGGCAATGGGTCCTTGTCAACCCCCTGCCCTGTGCCTGCCAGAGGTCCCTGTTCCAGGGTGTGGCTGGGGGTGAGCGAGGCCCCGATGCAGACCTCATGGTGCCCCAGAGGAGGGGGAATTTCCCCCTCGAACAGCTCCACGCTTGGCTGCTGTAGACGCTGAGATTTCCCGGAGGCCGGAGGCCGACTTAACCCTGCTCGCGCTGCACTGGCTCCGCCTCCTCGCACCCCCTCCACCCCCTCCACACATTGGGCAACTCCAGCAGCTCTTTTGACTTTTGATCCTGTGGTCCCACGGTCACAGGCCTCGGGAACATAGGGGCTGATGTGACCGTGTTTAGGCCACCGAACGGGCGGTGAGGATCCTGGACGGTGGCGCCTTCCCTTCCCGGTTTGGGAGGGAACACTGGCCCCTCCCCGCCCGCACCCCGTGGCTCCTCCCTCCCCGCAGTGCTTCGGAGGACAGAGCAGAAGGTGCCCTGTCCTAGCCAGGCCAATGGACCCAGCCCTGTTACCGGCTGGGGATGGGGAGGAGTGCGGCTTCCTGATGTCTGGGGAGGCAGGGGGTTAGAAATTTGAAGCTGGGGCCATGCCAAGAGGCTGGTCACTGAACAGGGGGATATGGAGAAAAGGGAGACCTCCTAAGGCCTCCTAAGACCCCCTACCCTCACCCCAACCTCTAATAGGGTGAGGATAGGAGTTAAAGGTCTGGAATCCAGCACCTGGAGAGGCTGTGGAAGAAGAGAGAAGAATGGAGTCCTCTCTTAAATTTGTAATGCAAGCTGAAGGTGGCTCCAGAAGGTGCCCCACCCCGCGGGAGATGGTTAGAGAAGCCGGTGGCAGGACCCTACGCAGGAGGGCGACTGATTCTGCCTTTGGGAGAAACGATTCGATTCCGGAGAGTAGTGACTGGGAGAGAGGGACAGGAGGAGGGTCATGGACCAGGAACGTCCTGAGAAGGGAGGGGCCTTTCTGCTTCTCATCCCTCTGCCGCCCTGGGACAGGTGACAGGCTAGACATCTAACTGGAAGACCCGGTTACCGGTTGGAGGAGACCTGGGGAGTTTCCTTCCTCATCCCCTCCCTCATCTCTGAAAGAGGGGCAACTGAGAGACCCCTGGAAAACCTCTGGTCAACTCAGTCTACCGTGCAGCCCCTGGGAATGAGAATGCCACCCTCCCCCTACTTCTCCCACCTCCTCTTCCCTTGCCCCTCTTTTCTTCTCTCCCCTTGATCCTCTAACTCTCCAGTTTTCTCTCCCCCTCTTCTGGGTATTCACTGTGGCTTGCTAACCCCGGTTTTCCTTGGGTGTCCCCTTCTCAGTTCTCTCTGCTTGCCCTTTCTCTGTCTCTCCTCTAAGTCTCTTCCCAACCGTCCCCTTTTCTTAGGGTGATGAGACTTGGAGCTGGAAAGATTGTAACTGAACAATTTGCTAGTTAATCCCCACGCAAATTCAAAGGTTGATTTCTTTCTTTTTTTTTCTTGTTTTTAAAGGTTTTTGTCATAGAGCATGTGCTCGCCAGAGAAGTAGACAGGAACAGTGAGAGGTAAAGGACTTCTTTTTTTTTTTTTTTTTTGGAGAGGTTTTCGCTATAGGGCGCGTGCGCTCGCCAGACAGACAGAGAGAGACATAGAGACAGAAAGCGAGAAATCACCCCCCCAGGGGGGATGGTCACGCCTCAATCCCTTCTCTTCCATTCTCCTCTTGGGATCTTGGGCACGCACGCACATGCACCTGGCGTGAGTTTTAAGCCACCGGGTCTGGGATGCGAACCGCAGTTGACTACGTGGGAGTCCAGCGACATAGCCATTACGCTAACTGCTGGTTCCCAGTGAGAGGTAAAGGGAGAAATGACCCCCCGCCCCCGGGTGGGGGATGACCACGCGGCAATCCCTTCTCCTTCATTCTTCTGGGATTTGGGCACACACACAGGCCCAGTGTGATTTCCAAGCTACCAGGTCCGGGAATCAAACCATGATCAGCCATGTGGGAGTCTAGCCCCTTAACCACCACGCCACCTACTCCCTCAAAGCTCGATTTCTGATTTCACTTGCTGCTTGACTTTGGGCAAATTAGAAAACCTCCTTGATCCTTGGTTTCTTCATCTATAAATGAGGATAATTTTACATTTAAAAAATTGTTGAGCCAATGGTGGTGGTTAAGACGCCTGGATCCCACATGACCAACTGCACAACTGAGTTCGTGACCCGCCAGTTTGAAAAACACACTGGACGCATGTGCATGTGTGCCCAGGATTCCAAGAGGAGAATGGAGAAAGGACTGTGGCATGGCCATCCCTCTGGGGTAGGGGGTACTTTCTTACTTCTTCTGTCTGTCTGTCTCTCTCTCTCTCCAGCGAGTGCATGCGCCTTATAGCAAGTTTTGGAAAAAAAATGTCGTGAGGCTCTAATGAAATAATGCACTGAGTACAACAAGTGCTTAATAATAGCAATCATTACTCTATCAGCCTCTTCACGGTCTAGCCTGGTGCTTTTCAAGTGATATGGAGGAGTCCTAGCATCCTGGGAGGTTTTCCTAGGGGATACCTTTGTGGCCGGGAGGTGGAGAAGAAAGAAGTAGAAGCAGTAGTGTTCCAGGCTTTCCACACTTGCTTCCAACAGAGCAATTCCAATTTTATACTTTTTATGTAATTGGGATTCCACAGATTAAAAAACTAAAATTGTCTGCAGCTTAAAAAAGTTTGGAAAGCTCTCCACTCATTCAACCCTCGTGTTTGATAGATGAGAAGACCGAGGCCCACAAAGGGGAGGTTCCTTGTTGACAGAACCAGAGCCCAACCCGAGTCCTCTGCTTCTCTACGAGAGCTCCTTCCCTCCTGCCTCATTTCCCCACCCCGCTGGCCGCGGTTCAGTTTCCCCACCCCCGCTGTCCCTGTGTATACCCTGTCTCAGGTATTGACCCGGGATGCCCTGGTCTGAGGTGCTCTGACCGAGAGCAGCGGTGGATGTTCTCTGGGAGGGCTGTCTATTAGGAGGTCTCCAGCTGCTCCAGAAGCCACTAGAAGTTTCTTGGGCATCTCTCTCTCTCTTTTTATTATTTTAGATGTTTTGCCATAGGGTGTGTGTGCTTGCTGGAGAGAGACCGAGACGGAGTGAGTAAGAAATCCCCCCCCCCCCGGGGCGGGGGATGACCACATCGCAGTCCCTTCTCCTCCATTCTCCTCTCAGGATTTTGGGCATGCTTGCATATGTACCTGGTGTGTTTTTTTAACCTGCCAGGTCTGGGACTTGAACTGTGGAGTTGAGCATGTGGGATCCAATATCTTAATCACCATGCCACCTGCTGGCTCTCAGGTATCTCTCAGAATGACCTTGTTCCTTTTCTCCAGGCACCCTCCAATAACTAGATCATGTCGCTCTGGGGGCTGGTCTCCAAGATGCCTCCAGAGAAACTGCAGCGGCTCTATGTGGACTTCCCCCAGCACCTGCGGCATCTCCTGGGTGACTGGCTGGAGAATCAGCCCTGGTGAGTGCTGGCTGCCCCACACCGGTCTCCCGTGTCCTCTCCTACTCATCTCTAATTACATTTTCTACCTCTGCCCATGGAATTTGGAACTTGGGAGCTGTTATTCTACATGCAGTGGCCTAGATTTAGCAGAGACTCTGTGCCCCATCAGGACCAGACTATGCATGTTGACATGCAGAGACCCACCTCTTAGGAAACTGAGCCAAAGAGCAGGGAGGGCAGGGCTGGGGCTAGGGTACTTCTCATAGCAGTGGGTAGATTGTGGAGCCAAGGACATGGGTGAAGGCTGCAGAGGGCCCAGATGAGAACAAGGAGTGGGAAAGGCACTGCTCGCTGAGCTGTTGGCTGTGGCGGGTGGAGGGTCAGGAGAGCTGAGGAGGCCCTGACCTGAGGCAGCCTCGTCCTGATCTTCCTGCAGGGAGTTCCTGGTCGGCTCAGACGCTTTCTGCTGCAACATGGCTAGCGCCCTACTTTCAGCCACTGTCCAGCGCCTTCAGGCCTCGGTGGGAGAGCAGGGGGAGGGAAGTGCCATCTTGCAACACATCAGCACCCTGGAGGTGGGGCAAGAGGGGAGGGGACAAGGCTGGGGTGGGACCTGGGGGGGCCTGGGGGGAGCACTGGACTGTAGAAGAAAACTGGTTGGATGTTGGAAGCAAATTGATGTGCCACAGTTAGCTGTTAGCTAGCATGCAAATTAGATTTTAAAGATATGCAAATTATACAAAAACCTCTGAAGTCTACAGTTATGCTGCCTTTCAGTGTATGTGAGAATGCGGGCCTGCGGATTGGACTGGGACAAGGACTTGGGTAAGAGCCAGGCTAACTGCTCACTACCCTCACTTCTATAGAACATATATCAGAGGGACCCCCTGAAGCTGATGGCCACTTTCAGACAAATACTTCAAGGGGAGAAAAAAGCTGTTATGGAACAGGTACGGTGATAGCCCGTTTCCCAGTCTGACTCAACTCCCCGGGACTTTGGTCCGAGCCATGAGAAACTAGGAAGGATTCGAACCTCAGGAAAGGCTCAGTGTTCTAGCCCCAGGATAACCAGGCTCCTGGGACCAGAGTGAACCCCAAACTAAGCTCAGGAAAGCTTTGAAAGAGGGACTAAGGGTAATGAGGCCTGGGAAGGACAGAACAAGGAGTAACGAGCCAATTCTGCTAGGAGAAAGGCCTGATTCCCAGGGGATTCCAAAAGGTCAGGGAGATCTGCCAAAGGGGAAAGAGGAGCTAGAAAGGGGAAGTGGTCTGTCTGCTTTTGTGCAGAGCAGAGTGGGAGCTGAGTGTGGAGGGGTGGGCAGAAGGCCTGATCTCTTGGCGCCTGTCCCTTCTGCACAGTTCCACCACCTGCCAATGCCCTTCCACTGGAAGCAGGAAGAACTCAAGTTCAACACAGCCCTGCGCAGGCTCCAGCACCGAGTGGGGGAGGCCCGCCTTCTGCGAGAAGCCCTGCAGCAGAGGGCGGAGGCTGGCCAAGGTGGGCACGAGGACCTGGAACGCTAACAAGGTCCTGGAGTGGGGTGTGTGGGAGCGATCCTGTTTGGGACCTCAACCATGACTGAGCCTCTGATCTATCTGCACCCCTGATTTCTGCCCCCTTCTCAGTGTCTCCGCACAGCTTGATAGAAACGCCGGCCAATGGGCCTGGGCCAAGTGAGGTGAGTAATAGACTGAGGTGGAGACTCAGCTCCGTGTGCAGCTGGAGGGATGGAGGTTAGAGACATGGACTGAGGTAGGGAACAGGAATGGCAGAGAGGTGAAGAGAGCCCTGTTCCTGGGAGCTGGGTGAGGAGGCGGGGGGGGGGGGGGAGGGGGGGGGGGGGGGGGGGGGCAGCGTATAACTCTGGCTCAGGGCCTCTCTGCCCGTAGGCCCTGGCTGCTTTGCTGCAAGAGACAGTCGGGGAGCTGGAGGCGGCCCAGGCACTGGTGCTGAAGAGGATTCAGATTTGGAAGCGGCAGCAGCAGCTGGCAGGCAATGGCGCGCCCTTCGAGGAGAGCCTGGCTCCACTACAGGAGAGGTTGGGGCAGGGCCAACGGGGCAGGGGGCAGGGGGCGACAGGCACCTGCTGTGCATGCTGGAGGACCCACAGGTGTGAAAGAGCAGAGGCCTGATGGGAAGGCCGTGGAATGGGCCAAGACTCCGGGAAGCCAGTTCCAGCAGGCTGTGCACTGTTGATCAGGCCACGTCCTGTCAGCTGTGCCTAGTCAAGGGGACACAAGTGGGGGCTCCACTAGCCCACGGTCCTCTCTTCCTGCTCCCTTCCAGGGGAATTGGGGGGCTGTCTTTGTCCATGTGGCATGCGGGGGGCACTTTGTAATCTGCCCAAAAGCACTATGTGAGCCAGCCATTGTCCTGGCAAAGAGGCAGCCAGCTGGGGTTCTCAAGGTCTAGGACCCTGAGAATGAACCTCCACTCAGAACCGATCCAGGTCCTAGAACCCCCTTCTCACCCCACCCCTCCACACACGATCTCCTGCTTTCTCCCCGGGTTTAGAGGATGGGGCAGGGGGGTGGCACTGGGAGGAGCAAGCAGCCTGAGTCCCGTGCCCCCTGACCACTGTCCTGGCCCCAGGTGTGAGAGCCTGGTGGACATTTATTCCCAGCTCCAGCAGGAGGTAGGGGCAGCTGGTGGGGAGCTTGAGCCCAAGACCCGGGCATCGCTGATTAGCCAGCTGGATGACGTCTTGCGAGCCCTCGTGACCAGGTATGCTCCATGAGTTCCTGGCCAAGAGTGGACTGCAGGGAAGGAAAGGGGTTAGAGCTGTGGGGAGGGCACTGGGAAGGCTCCAGCCCCTAACTACCCTTGCATCGTCTTCACTCTTT